CTAGGGTAGGACCCTCAAGGTCCGTTCTCGAGTCGACAGCGCGGAAGTGTGAGTATGTTGTAAACATCTGACTGTACACTGTGAGGATCTTTCAGTTCCCTAAAGATAGGCCGGCAATGCTCATAATACCCAAATGATGTGATGACTCTGAGTGCCATCTCTTTAAAGCTAAGAGAACATCCTTGTAGCAGGGGAATGCCCCCACAGTATCAATCCATACATCACGTGACCTTGGAAGAGAGGCATGATAAACCTGATAACACTAAGCTACTTAGATCACTATCACATCATCTGGGAAAATGTATGGAATCTCTACGAAACATCCACCCGCTTGTGTTGAACCAACAACATACATATTTGAAGGTGAGCGCTGTAACCACTCCGTTGTAGACAATCGTTACACCTACAGTCTGAGATAGATAGCAATGCAGTGATTACCTTGGAGAGTAGCGGCCATCTTGGATTAATTTCAAACAGCTGCTAAAGAGTAATTTATCATACTAAAATATTTTTTCCAGATACAAAAGTTATTGTAGTTTAAATACCCAGGGCACTGTGGGATTATAAATTTTCTCTTCCTACTTAAACAAGATGGCTTTAAACAATGGCTTTAAATATACAACTTTACCGGTTCCGGTCGTATCGTTCAATAGAGTATACCGACAATATCTAAAAAAACACAGTTAAGTTTTTCCATTATAATTTATGTTAATCTGCAGTTGAAAACAGCAGTAATAACAATATAAACAGTGTGAGAACAATATTTTGTGGATCAAACTAATCCTGAGCGATTATACGATTTGTAATGAAACAAACACCTTTCCAGATACTTCAAAAGATTTCCCAAAGTATGAGACAATCAAATGGAGGCGCTCGTATATAAAACACACAAATGCAATATATATCAATTGTATTTTCATATAGTGTATGTTTGAACAATACATAAAAAATACAAACTGTCCCACAACCGAAACAATGCCACGTAGTTCTTCAAAATACAAATTTTGTGACTAATTTTGAACAAATCACAAAAAACTTCTTCCAACCCTTTCTGACCATCATTACAAACCCACAACCACAATTACGCAGCCCTTCTGTGCGTGACATCAAATTAAAAATGGCCGCCACCCTCCTGCGTGACTCAGGGAAGTGAATATCGAATTAGACTGGTCAAACTTGCGTCGTACTGCGTAACACGACGCCATGACGACGGACAATGGGCGAGGTGCTAGAATCATGCCAACAATGCCATAACATGCCATAAACCATGCCAGTGCACGCTTCTGGCATTTCACGCGCTCAGTGTTGTCACTGGCTTTGAACTGCGACGACTTATATCGACCTGCAAATCATCAGGTCATTTTAGTATATGAAGCTTTTTGTATAAAATAATATCAAACTTGAAGGGAAAGCAGTTACGATTCCTCAAACCTAACACTTTGAATTTATTTGTAAATTTGCTTTGTTAGAAGGTAAAAATTTCATTCATTAAATTGAAAATTACACTTCCTATGATCATTGAACTATGCATCTATCCTTTGTGATCGTTCTATGGATTACATGGAGGTATAGTGAATCATTCAGAATCTCATTGGATTCCTAGGAATTTCTTAAGTAACTAAACAATTGTCTCGATACACAGTAAGTAATTGGTTTATTTAAAAAAGTGTAAATGTAGATTTGTCAACCTATTTATAACACTTGTGTTCATGTTTGAAAGCGTGTTTCTTCTTCGTGTTATTCTGGAAGCGTCGACTGAATCTGTTCTCTTATTTGAAGCTTAGTTTTATGGCCTAGAATTAATTTGACTATAACACCTGCAAGAATATTGCTAACTGTAAAAGAAATAGTTATCCATAGATATCTTTTTTGTTGGTTGAAAATTATGGATTGTTTTAAACAGATGTAAATGAATACTGTACATCCTAACGCACGCTTAATATGTCTGGTAGAGAAGAGACGTAGTTTGAAATTCGTCTTCAACCATAAATTGATTAACTATATGTCAGCTTAGTTTTAAATGATCATTTTAGTGAGTAGTGAGAATATACACTGTAAAAGCACAGTTATTCTTACCCTCCAATTTGATCTGATAGTATTTATACAATTTTATGACACAAAACCGTTCTTCCAACGCGATTACTCAGGAGAGATTGATCAATCTATGGTATGCCATATTTTGCCGTAATAGTTTATAGGCAATTGTTAACACAAGTAATTTTTATATCTTTAACATTCGAGAAATATTCGTTTCACCAAAGTTAGTAACTGTATTATTGTAACGTTTCCTAGGCATTTCTTGTCCTATGTACTATTAGCAGAAAGCCGTTTACATGCATTTAGTTGGGCATTCAGGTTTGGGCACCTGCAGTTCATTCCACACCAGGATTTGAAAAAAGAATAGTCAAACCGACGTTGTGTAAACAAATAATCTGTTGTAATCACTATTCCACTTTCATATTATTATCGTTGTTCCTTCACTGTTTCTTCTTTTTAATGACTTATTAACCACCAAACCAAAGTAACAACCGACAAAAGAACATCTGTATGCAGACCTACTTTAACGAGGTCAAACGACTCCACGCGAACTTTAAATTAGGCAGTTTGGCATGCAGCCCGACTGTCCGCAAAACTCGTAATACCAATAATTGAGTCATGCAGCCCGCAATCAGGCGTAAACAGTATAAAAGTTGCAAATCCAGCTGGTCCATGTTACGCGCACGAACTACATTTTCTTGTTGCATTATTGAGCTCGAGTACCGTGGACGACGTTTCGTGCGGGTTTGACCCGCCCTTCACCGGGGTGGACAGTGGACAGATGGCGTTTCATTGTACACTCGGGATCGTCTCCATAATTTGTCGTCTCATAATTGATTTCAACCGCGTTGCCTGCGGCCACACTTGTCGTGCTGGTCTCGTGACTGAGGAATACATTGTCAGTTGGACAGTGAGTGACCGCAGGCGCTTTGAAAAGGAATACTATTCATGTTACTGGAAATCGAGTGGAGAATCACTCTTGTATTTTTGATCATGTTTAAATTGAAATAACTTCTAAAAGATTAATGAAACGTATCAACGTGTGTTGTGTATCATTGTAACCAAATAACTTAATTGGCATGGTTTAACTAAGGAAATAATAATTTCATCCTTTATTTTATCAAATTGTCTATATTAACAAAATGCCAATGAAGGAGAATTATTTTTAAATAGAAAAATTATCTACGTAGCGCAAAGTTAGACACTGACAGGGGCTTGCTAATTGTTCAGTGGTAATACTTTGTTGACTCATGTGAGCCTTTCTTTGACAAAATTGTTAAAATAATTTGGCATAATTTTTTTTAAATTATAATAATAATTTATAATAATAATTATTATTATAATTATAATATAATAATTATTATAATAATAAATTTTTTTTTTTTATAATTTGGCTCAATTTGGCTGATACAAATACATGTACACGAGTTTCGATCGATAACTGTCATCCCAAGAGTTTATCAACTAATCCATAGATAACATAATAAATATATTGTATGACTATTCTACATAGGAATATAACAAATCCAGATAGGTTTCCTCGCTTAAGAGACATTTATTTCTTGATGGGCTCCAAGTATTGCATTGGAGTCTTGCCCCAAAGCATCAGATCGTATCATTATCTCAATGCTTAAGAGTCTTCGTCAGTGGTAGCCATATTCGATTTTAGTCCTATAAGAGCAGTATTAAATTTGTAACAGAATTTATAAAAAACCTGTTGTGATAAAATAATGATTTAGGTGTTAAAATTAAGGTTTAGTGGTCCTCTAGGGAGTAAGGTTTTTAGTTTTGTAATTTTTCCTCCACTTAATAACGATTAAGTTATTCAGTTAAGTTATTTAGTTAATGATCATTAATTAAGCCTTTTACATTTTCAAAACTATCTATCTAATATATAAAATTCTCGTGTCACAGTGTTTGTCTGCAAACTCCTCCGGAACGACTTCTCCGATCGTTATGAAATTTGGTGTGTAAATTCTGTAGGTATGCGAATCGGACGTAAACTATTTCCCGTTTCGAAATTCTTAAAAGGGCTCCGCCCCAGTGGCTCTGGAGTTTCCCATGTTAACCTTATGAGAAATGGAATTAATGAATCTTAACAGCTGTTTCAATTAAACAAGTTGGTTCTGTTCTATGATGTTCAATAACATTAAAGTTACATGGATTACCAACAGGGTGCAGCACTATGATTTCTTTTACATTTATGACAACAGCTAATTTGCAACCAAAAGGTGAGTGAGCGTAGCGAACGAACTTCAACCTGGAGGCGAGTTAGCGTAGCGAACGAGCTAACCTGAAGGCAAGTGAGCGCAGCGAACGAGCTCCAACCTAAAGGTGAGTGAGCGTAGCGAACGAACTCCAACCCAAAGGTGAGTGAGCGTAGCGAACGAACTTCAACCAGGACGTGATTGAGCGATGCGAACGAGATCATCTTGAAAATTAAACGTAACGGTACTTTCTTTCCATCGGTCTGTCTTAGGTTAAACCTATAACTTAGGCGATACGAAGTTCGCCGGGTCAGCTAGTAACTCTATAAATAACACCGGCATACTGCTTCAAATGATGGCATTTTCTGTCAAATTTAACACTGATCTTATGGGACTAAGCTCCAATATGGCTGCCACTGATGGAGACTCTTATCTCCATTAGTTATTTACAAGATTCGTACCCAGACCTCCAATTACAGAAAAGCCATTTTCTTTTTAACTATCAAAGAGAAGGATCCAACTACTAGACAATTTTTTAGAAACCAAATGTCAAATATGAAATTATAATTGTTAAATGACAAAAGATTTAACATATTCTTGTTGTACAGGCACACTTCGCCCCCCGGGTCTGATCGGAGGCAGCAAGCCCAAGGTAGCCACACCCGCCGTAGTGTCCAAGATAGAGCAGTACAAGAGGGAGAATCCAACCATCTTCGCCTGGGAGATACGCGAGAGACTTATCTCAGAAGGTGAGTAAATACTCATAATCTATATTGTTCATAAAACCTCTACAACCTCTGTAAAATCGTAACGGTTTGACACGAATGTATCTAAAGACTCGCTTTGCAGTCGATATAAGTTAATGAGATAGAAAAAAAATGTAACCGCTTGGTACTCTTACTTTAAAGCGTAGTATAAAGAAACTGTGTTTTCAACAGTATGTAGATCTTAAAGAGACATAAATAATAAAATATCATTCCAAATAAGGTAAAGTAACTTCTTAAAATCAGGTACGGATTTTTAAGAGACAAGATATTCTCGCATAAGTTTCCCATATTTTTTTGTTTTAAGGCTAATAGGAAAGGCTTAGATAGGATTGTGTATGCAGAGGATGTAACTAACCCAACTGTTTACCGTAGATCATAAATGTACATGTGTGTCAATACATTAGTACCATTAGGCCTACTTATTGCGGCTATCTTCCGTGGCTGGTCTGGTGATTTTTCTGTCTATTGCAATAATGACACATATGCAAGGAAAATTCTCCATTGGAGAACTCCTTTCGCATCCATCATGCATCCCAATGAATGATTTTTACCACGTAACCCTAACCCTGAAACCGACCCCAAAATGAAACACTTTTAACAAGAACCTCCTTCTTCGTCAACATCCTAATGAAGCTGTCACCCACTGAACTACCTTGGACCTCTTCACACCAACTATAATTATACTCGTCTACTCTTCCAAGCGTTATCTGTCCATCTCGACTCCGCATTTCGATTTACGATCTAGATCCATCTGCCAGTTTTTCCCCGGGTTGCTGTCCTCAGATGAAACTGCCCTATAATCTATGGGTCCCAAAAACTGCAAGGTGCGCACCATTGAGCTTCGGGGCTTAATTTGAAAAAAGGAATTTGAATCGATTGGCAGTCATCCTTTCCGATTACGTTCTGAGTTGATCGAAGATAAGTTTCGCTCATTAGCTCGGCAATCTGTTGAGTTATAGGCTCACTGAAATAAACCGGGATCGGTTTCTTATAGGCGAGTTGTGAAGTTGTTTTTGAGCTGCAACGCCGTCAAGGAATAGTAAAAGACTGATTTAACCTGTGCTAGAGGTATTTTAAACTTAATCTTTTTAATAATGGCCATAATTCTGCAAATTATTCTGTCATATCAGTTCGATATATTCGAACCATATTCGTTCATTAATGGCCCATCGACTCCCACAAGGTTTAAAAGCGTTTCATTTCAGATAAAAATTTGTTGTCGTCAGATTTGATAACGGATTATAGACAATTTCGAGGATTAAAAGATTTCGATTTTGAAAGTGATTTAGAAAATAAAAATTAATATAAAATAGGCAATAGTTGTAAGTACCACTTACTTAATTCTTAAAAATATCTAATAAAGATCTCAACTTAATGCCAAAACTCGTGTAGCATCTAGCTACGTCTAAACATTAGGTTAGGACCCGTTATATCTAACCAATAAGGTGTAGTTTTATTTATTTGTTATAACACAGTGTACAAATGTTTAGCTGAGCCAGAATATTCATTTTAACACTAACATTTATTCTGCACCTGTGATTTTTCAAATAGCTGAATATGTAAGAGGAAATGGTTCTACACTGATAAACAATTAGGCTTGTAACATTTGAAAATTAATGACATGTAGTCAGATGACCAAGTTATATTTTATTTTAGTCCGCTCATCGTCATGTAAAGATTACCCAATATAATTTCTAGTAAAAAATAATCTTCTTTTAAAAATTATTCTTTGAAACGGTTTAGAAAAAATAAGCCGTCAAACCGCTTTTTTTTTTTTTGGTGATTTAAACGCTCAATCACCAGCCTGGACGCAGACGCTTGTTAAATTCCTTAGAGATTACAAAGAGTGTTTTGTAGGCACAAGCCTTGTATTGATAGGTAATAAAGCCATTTATAAACAGGTAGATGTTAGAACGAGGCCCGGAGGAGCTTGTGCATAATTATTATGAACTCCTTTTTGCTTGACGTAACCAAGACTTTCGATTTAGTTTAACTTTTAAAAATGGACCCTAATTTGTGTCAAAACTAGAATCAAACCTTCATCTTTGCGTTTCCATCAATTCCACACGAGTACAGTATCAGTAACTGCGCCGTCGACCGCTGTTCGCTGTAGGCCTATAATTATTCCTGTATCTAGGGACACGCGTGGATAGTAGTAGTGTAGCAGTGTAGCACTATATAGCGACATGTAACGACAGTTCTCCCCTCACTTAGCCGGTGATTAGCGCTTATAACTTCATTACCGGCCTTCTGCATAATCACGAGTGCCTTGAGAAAGTACGGTGATAAATGTTCGAAACGTTGGCTACCATCCAACCGCAGTTGCGGCAGCGGTGGAGAAAACAGAGCCACAGACAATCAGAGCCTTGTTGTGATACGTTAGTTAAGTTGTAGTTGTAGTCACAATGGTAGTTAAATGGCACAACGGTTATTCAAGCCTCCATAAATGTTATAATAGGAACCTCGTTAAGTCACAGAACGGAGAAAACTTTTTATGTGTTCTCTATATCCTTGCGTGAAAGGATTAAGGTAAAATATATACAATGAACTAGGGCGGTTGTTAATGGTGTTTTGGCCTCTGGGGACATCAAAATGAAAAAGCAAATCGGTCCCGGGCCTAGGTCTTACCGTGCCACCTACGGTCATAGCTACTTCCCTGTAGGAAAATTCGCTAAAATGGCATTAGATTTAAAATTGACTTACCACAAACATTCTTAGGTTAGGTTAGGTCAGTTTAAGAAAGGTTAGGTTAGGTTAGAAATCAGGTCAGAGGTTAGGTTATGTTAAGGTATGTTAAGGTTATGTTAGTAGGTTGCTAAGTATACAGGTTAAGAGCCTCTTACTACATGAACTGCGTTCCTCAATCCTTGTAAATCTTTCATCGGGCCAAAATGTTACTCCATTAGCTTATTAAATCAATTGTGAAAGCGAATGGGACGAAGTGTTACTGTTTTTCTAAGAAATTTGAGTTTGGCCGAAATGTTACTTGGCGGAATGTTACAAAACCGTAGGCGTCAGAGCAGTTTAACATAAAACTTTATTTTCTAATGCCCGTTAACAGCTAACATTAAAACTCCAGAGTGTGAGAATCATATTGTTATAATGCCATTCCACCTTTGATGACTAGCAGAAGTTATCTATGAATAGTTAGTTGTATTTTGTTGTAATAGTTTAACTGTTTGTAAATTATCACAACAAGCATTTCAGGATATATAAATTATTTGACATTGTCTTTAGCTGATCCATCTTGCATGACATATTTAGTATTCTTTTCTATAATTCAAGTTTAATTGGTAAACAAATATATACGATAGATGAATAATTTTTCTTGACTTGAGCGATTTAGTACGTTTCGGAATACAACGTGACCACCCCTCTTTGCAACGCAATTACTTTCCCATCAATACCAATCAGACCAAGGAAAATATATGGGCATAACTATCACCCTTTGAAATATTATCTAAAGTTAACCAAACAGTAAATTAGCATATTTGCTTGTTAAAAGAATAATTACAAAATTACTCATAATTCTTGGGAGATGAATAAAATTTTGAAAGACCTGACGAGCAGACAGCAAACAAATCCAACGGTATACGTCCTGTCACAAATTTATTACCTTTCGGAATACAACGAGATCACCCCTCTTTGCAACGCAATTACTTTCCCATCAATACCAATCAGACCAAGGAAAATATATGGGCATAACTATCACCCTTTGAAATATTATCTAAAGTTAACCAAACAGTAAATTAGCATAATTACTTATTAAAAGCATAATTAAAAATTACTCATAATTCTTGGGAGATGAATACAATTTTGAAAGACCTGACGAGCAGACAGCAAACAAATCCAACGGTATACGTCCTGTCACAAATCTGAACTAGGAAAACTATAAAACCGCTTTAATAACCACTAAATCCGAGCCAGCCACGCAGTGTAAAGTTTTAATGCCACTATCAGCCTAAGTGGATAATTAATTAACATATATTTATGCAAGAGACGCAGATAATGAAGCGGTAAAAGTACTAATCGAATTAGCGGGGCTTGGGGCACAGTCTGTTGGCCATTAGACATTCCTGAACGCCATTAAACCATGTAGCCTCGCTGTGCTGTGTAGGCGACAACAATTAAGTGATCAACCCATTGGACATTAGACTGCCGGCCTGCAGGGTAATGGCTGATGTATGCAGCTATGATGTTTTGATCTTGCGTCTAGACTTTAACTATGGTCTGACTATGAAGCTTTTAACCCTGATTTAATAATGGAAGGGCTTGGTGCTGTGGCTATCCATTAATTTAAATTCTAAAGAATGTCATACGTTGTTCTTATTAAATTCTAAATGTCTTTATTGGATAAGGCTGGATGATTATTTAGCCACGATGAAATTTAGATCAGCATTGCTTATTTGGATCTTAGGGATTTTTTTTTTAAATGTGTAGGCATATATTCATTTTGACGTCTCTTGATTTTTTTAAGGGTAAAAAATAACCTTCTTAGGAGTTTTAATTTCAGCCAAGATCAAATTATTTTCTGACAGTAAGCTATTCTTGGGAGATGAATACAATCTTAAAAGACCTGACGATCAGACAGTAGATCCAGTAAGCCACCCGCGCTACTGACCGCTCGGAGGGAAAACAACGCATCACGGCTGTCCAGAGCACAATGGCCACTGGCCAACTCGGAATCGCCAGTTGAACGATCAATTATAAACGGCACTACATTCCCAGGCTGTAGGTGTAAAAAGCGCGGCCCGCCAGAAGAAACACACCGAAGTGAAGTGAATCCGAGGGCCGTCGCGTCACGCGCACCAGACATCAAATCGATTACGGTTGGACAATAGACAGAAGATGTCATGGGAGATGTCCGTCTGACTGTGCAAGTGATGGTCAGGTACAATGGACAGTGGGAACATTATAGTGACCACTGTGGACAGTGGACTGTGGACTGTGGACTGGAGGCTGCTACTTGGGAACAGAAACAA